GCACTCGCGCCCCTTCAGTGCGCTCAGTCAGCTGCTCTGCGCTCCTAGCCCTAAAGGTAGGACTTGACTATTTTAATAGGGCAATAAAAAGGATGTTGACCTATATTTGCCAGGAAATCCATTTCTAGCTTCAGTTCTACGTGCTCGGAGTTTCAGACAGCCCACCCCGGGCGGGAGCTGGCAGCCGGCGTCTCCAGCGGCAGCGGCGAGGGAGAGAGGACGCAGGTTTGCCCGGTTCCTCTCTCAGCCCCTGGAGAGTCCCCGGGCGAGCGGGTTGCAAACCGGCCTGATGCGGTGCCAATAAGTTCTAAGTCCCTCCCCTCAGGTACCCGGCAGGAGCGTGAACGCACATCCTTAAAGAAATATCGATACATTCACACCCTGCCGGCACCACTGTCACCGCGGAGGCGCAGGGGAGCTGGTGACACGCCAGGGACGAGCCAGGCCCCTCTGAGCCCTGCCTCTGCTCAGCCGGGTCTTTAGGCACCGGAGGGGCAGCGGCTGGGGGTGTGGTGGAGGACAGCACGGAGGAGGGAGCAGGCTCTGAGACGATGCTGAGGCCACATTGGTGCAGGGAGCTGGAGACACTCCGTGGTTATGGGGGATTTCTGCCCCTTCCCTCATTTCCACTCCAAACTTGGAAAGGGCAGACACCCCCAAAGGGAAGGACTCCCCAAGTCACCAGCCAGAGTTGAGGCAGGATGGGAAGGCCATCCCAGCCAGAGAAATCAAATCAGGGCCATCCGTGGACCACGTCTCCCCGGCGCCTCCCCCACCCCCACCCCGAAGTTTTCAGCTGGACTCTTCACCTGCATTCCCTCCAGGAAGAGGAAGGGATGGCAGGTGGACAGGTGGGTGGGGAAGGCCAGGGGGAAATCGCCTTTCTCTCTGCCCCAGAGCAAACACACGTCTGGACTGCCTGGTCTCACAGAACCCCCTTTAAGCCACACACTCCACGCCCCGCGCTGGGCTTCTACCTGAGTCATCAGGCGGTCCGCTCCCGTGTTCTCCTCGTCCTTAAATATTATGTCGGGGTTGTAATTGGGGGTGAGTTCCTTAAATCGCTCCGAGTTTCTCGAGATCTTCCCTTCGTATCTTCCACTGGCCCCCAGGGTCTTCTCGGCCACGTTGGGGATGAACTGCTTGTAGGCTAAAGGGGTCAGCTTTTTGGGGTGCCGCCTCTTCCCAAACCCCCTGCCGGGTCCGCAGGCCAGCCCGGAGCACATCAGCAGCGAGGAGACCAGCAGCACCAGCAGACATCTCGCCAGCAGCAGCATCTCGTCCATGGAACCCAGTGACTTCCAAGCCGTCCCCGTGCAGGTCTGTGTGCGCGAGTGCGCGAGTGTGTGTGCCTGTGCGCCCTCCCTTCCTCGCTGGGCTCGCTGCTGGCTCCCTTGCTCGCTCTCTGCCTCGCTCTTTCTCTTTCTATAGCACCCTGCCCGCCACCAGTGCCGGGGACTCTCTGCCGATCCCCACCCAGACGGGGGCTGGAGCGGCAGGCTGCTGGTCGCTGATAACGGAGCACATCTGAGTTGGGGCGGGAGACAGCAATCAAAAGACAAAAAGAGTCTGATTTTAAATGGTAGCAAGCCTGGAGAGCTGTGCGAGAGGCTGTCTTCAGTACTATATTATAGCTGGCAGGGGCGCATCTGATTGGCCAAAGCAGCACAGCTTCGCTTCTGATGTTAACCCTAAAAAAGACTAGATTTTTTTTCTGTTGCTGCTGTTGCTTTATTTTCACCTGAAGGCTTTGAGTTAAAAGGAAAAGAACAACACCTTTGCTAAGACAAGGGTGGGTGTGAGGGATGCCGCCTGCGCTCAGAGTGACATCAGTTACCCCCTGCTTTGTGCGTATCTCCCGTTCCCCCTTCACTTTCCCCAGAATGGTAGGTGCTTCAGTTAAAACCAACTTAAGTTTTTAAAGGACAGCCTAGACCCCCCTCCCAGCTTCAATCATCAAACAAGTATTCTCTCCAGTGTCTGAGGGGTAGAGCTGCCCAGAGCTGATTTAAATATTTTTCTGAGACTTTATTACGCAGTCCAGCTCTGACAGCATTTTAAAGACACAGGGTCTGCGTTTTCCTGAATCTTCCACATCCTTGGGTGGAGGGTCACCCTCACTAGCCACTACGGGAAGCATTGCTGTTTGCAGGGCTTTCAGTGCCCGGGAGAAACTGGAAAATGCTGTTCCTTCTGCGTTTCTATTAACGCATTATTTTTAACCCTCTGAACATGGGCTGGAGGAGTGCGCAGGGGCTGGTACTGCGATCTGAGTTCATCCTGCCGGCTTGGCCGAGTGCGTGTGGGCACTGCACTCCAGCCTGGAGGAGGGGGCCACACCGTGCCTGTGAGGTGGGCGGAGGCCCATTGTGCCTGGGGGTAGCGGTGAGTGGGCAAGACTGTGCATACACCACCCCCACCATCTATCGATCCGAGCAAAGTGCAGGCCAGGGATGAGCTGGATGTGGGATTCAGGCTCCTTCCACGTCGTTGCCGAGCTGGCTGTCGGTGGAGCCTGCGAGCCGGTGCTGGGGGCTGCGGCCTGAGGTGGGGCAGGGCCCAGGGGAGCAGTGTTCTGGCTGCCAAGGGCCTGGCACTCGGAGCCAGCAACACTGGTTATTTTTTACTATTTTCTTTCAGAAAATGAAGTCCTGTTTAAAGCAGAAAAATAAAATCAGAAACCCCGCCTTTTACAGGATTGTCCTTCTCAGCCCTCCCAGGCCACTCCTGCCAGAGCTGCTCTAGAGTAAGCCAGGGAGAGGGGCTGGGGCCAGCGCGCTGGCCCTGCGGTCAGGCCCTGGACTTCCCTGGAGGCTGAGCCTCTCTGGGCCCAGCCCAACTGCGTGGAGCAGCGGGAGAGGCAGGTCTGAAGGCTGGGCCCTCAACACAGTGGGTCCCTTCCAGCCGTCCGTGCGAGCCCCCTCTCAGATGACCTTCTGGTGGGAGGTGAGAGGGGACCTGATAAGAACTGAGCACCATCAAGGCCTTCCCCAGGTTGACCCCAGCCCTCACCCCACCTTTGTGCCTTTTGTGTCCTGATTGGTGAAGAATGCCCACCCCCAGCCAGGTGGGCAAGCAGCCCCCCTTCGCCAGGGCCTGCCAGGTGGAGGGACTGACCCAGCGTCCTGGCTGCGTATCCCCAGTGGGAACAGACACGGGAAGGACACTCGGTCCTGCACGCTGGAGGGTCAGCCTGCTTGGGGTGTCACCGTGCAGCAGCTCACGTGGATGCAACACCACTGGGTGGGGCGGGGCTTGAGAAGCCCCTGGGGACTCCAGCCTTTCCCTCCCCCACCCCCACCATCACTCTGGGTCTGGCCTCCTCCCAGTCCCTTCCCAATCCCCCTCTTCTTTGCTCTCACACCCTCCCTTACAAACCCAGGCACAGGCAAGGGGCGCAGCACCGGTTGCGACCCTGCAGCCCCAGATCAGGGACCCCATGTCACCACCGGAGCGCACAGGTAGGGGAGGTCTGCGCCCCAGGGCAAGGGGTCCTGCACCTGTAGAGGCCTCAGATGTGCCTTGGGGGCGGTCGCCTGCACGCGGAGCCAGAGCGGACCTGGGATGCCTGCCCCTCACTGCTCGTGGCCTGGGGACTGGCCGTCCTCAATGATGAAATAATGATGCCCCCTCAGACCCGCACTGACCCTGATTTCTGAGGATCTTCCCTGTCGGGGGTGCGGGGGGATCTGGACAGAACTCCATTGCAGTTTGTATTTATTGTCTTAGCAAGAGGGGCGCCAGCCAGGTCCCCCGAGAAGGGGAGCCCCTGCCCTCCCCACCCACTTCCTGGACCCCAGACACCAGATGGCTCCCTCCTTTGTCTTCCCCCTTCAGACACTTCGGTCCCTCCCCACGCGGGTCAGAGGCTCTGAACCCCACCTCTGCCTGACCCCAGGTCCCCCCAGGATTTGTTTCTCATTTGCCTGGGCTCTTTCCAGGGTCAATCTGCATCCCTCCCCCGTGCCCTGCGGAGGTGGCTGCTGACTTCTGCCCCCACCCCCAGGAGGCGCCTCTGCGCCCCGCTGCCCGGCCCCCACCGCTAGATGGCCTCCTGACTCTGCCTCTGGCCGACGCAGCGGCCGGAAATTTGAGCAGCCGGGTGGGGAGGTTCCTGGGAGCGGGGTTAGCCCATTCTGGCCGCCTGCCCACCCCTCGCCCACTTCTGTGGCCCCTCCGTCCCCCTTGGGGGCGGCTGCCGCTGGGCCCTGCAGCGGAGCTGGGCCTCCCGCCTCAGCCAGGGGCCACACTCTCCCTGGCTCTCCACTCCTGTCCCTGGGGCTGTGTCCCCTTCCCCAGGTCCCGCCCTGCGATGTCTCTTCCTGGGAGCCCTTCCACTCAGCCTCTTCCCACCCAGTCATGGCTTCCCATCTCTTTCTGATTTTGTCTACTTTTGGCAAATTGAATACCTGGGCCTCCGTGCCTCCCTGTGACCGCAGCCAGGGTCTCCCCGGAGTTGTGCAGGGAGGTGCCCTGGGGGGTGCAAGTGTCCAGCTTCCCTCGGGGCCACTGCGTCCCTGCCCTGTCGCTCGGGAGAAGGCCGCCAGACACACAGACCTCTGCCAGCGGGGTCTCCGTGGGGGCTGAGCCTGATGACAGTGCTTCTCAGCAGAGCAGAGCGCAGAGAGGCACTGCCAGGGACAGGAGGGGGTGCCCGCCACACGCTGCGCCACGCGGGGGAGGACCTGGCACCTCCCCGGCTCCGTGACTCTCGGACGCCCGCAGTGGCACAGGTGACAGCTGAGGCCCTCCCTCCCTCCCTCCCTCCCTCCTGAGCACCTGTGGCTCCAGCGCTCACTCGCGCTGGTTCTGCCCAGCACACCTGCGGTGTGTCCCGTGCACCCACCCCAGGTGCTGTGGCCCCAGGGGCATGTGCTTGTCCCCAGGACCGGTCTCCTTCTAGCTGACTTTTCTCCTTGTCGCCCCACCCTTTACCTCTCCTTTTACCTCAGAGCAGGCGCTGACATGGCGACCTGGCGCGGGAGACACCGACACACAGGAAGATGGCATGTCTGGTCCCATGCACGGGCCGAGCAGGCGGGGCAGGCCCCCGGTGTGCTGTGGCTGAGGGTGCAGGCTTCCTCGATCCAGACCGGCCCCTGAGCTCGGGCCAGCCCAGTGTAAGCTCGGCCTCAGGGCCTGTAGGTGCGCGACCCCTTACGGTCCAGGGAACCGTGGCCTCATGTGAGTGGGTCAGGAATGGCGCTGTGGGAGGTGGCTCACACCCAGGAAGTGAGGGGCAGACCTAGCTCTTCTGGTCCCAGCTCCTGTGTGCCCTTCCCGGTCTCACAGCTGCCTGGGCCCAGTGATGACAGGTGCCCGGGGCAGCAGCTGGGTCACCCTCATTGCGTCGGGCCACCTGGGACCCTGAGCAGGAGAGAAACCCCCAGCAGCACCTAGTTGCCCTCCCCACAATCCTGTTGCCTGGGGACCCTGTAAGCCCACAGCATTAGGGATGGGGAGGGTCCCTGTCCTCAGGACACCCATCTGCCTGGAATGCCTTTTGCCCAGGAGGACCTGGTGAGGAGCCCACTGAGCTCCCCACGGGGCAGGGGGAAAAGCTAAGGAGTGACCATGAGTTTCTGATTCTTTCTGAAGATCAGGCATGGGAGACACAGTGAGGTGAGTGTGTGAGTGTGTGTGAGTGTGTATGTGCATATGCATGCATGTGTGACTGCGTGAGTATGTGTGCCTATGTATATGTATGTGCATATGTGCATATGAGTGTATGTATGTGTATATGTATGTATGTGTATGACTTTGTATGTTTGCGTGAGTGCACGTGTAACTATGTATATGTATGACTGTGTGTGTGTATATGCGTCTATGTGTGAATGTGTATATGGATGAGTATGCATGAGTGTGAGTGTGTGTGACAGGAGTGAGGACAGAGCCGGAGCAGGGCAGCAGGGCAGGCTGACGGCTCAGAGGGCCTGACGTGGGGTCGGAGGGGGGCTCAGGTCTCCTGGCCCCGAAAGCCGGTCCAGCTGGGAAGACTCGGGCCCTTGTCACCTGCTTCCTCCCTCGGGGGGAGCCCTGCCCTGGCACCCACCTCTGCCCTCTCCCTCGGTGACAGGATGCCGCCCGTGGTCCTTCCCATCTGAATCCAGATTCCCAAGCCCCTTCCGGGCTGCATTTTCTAGAAAGACCTGAACTTCTGTGCAGGGTCACAGACTACTTGGAGGAGTTCCCCGGCGTGGTATGTTTGTGGTATGTTGGCCAGGGAGGGTGCCGTCTACGCGTGCACTCGGAGACCTACAGGACCCGGGGCCAGGGCCGGGGCCACACCTGACCTGTTCTATTCGCTGAGGGAGCTGGAGCAACACGGCCCTTCCACGCTGAGAGCCGTGTCTGAGCCCCAGAGCAGGCAGATACTTAAGGCCAAAGCAGTTGGGTGTGCAATTATTCAACTGCTTTTAAAAAAATACATTTTTAATTGATTTTTTATTTTAGAGAGAGGAAGGGAGAGGGAAAGAGAGAGAGAGAGAAACATGGATCAGCTGCCTCCTGCACACCTCTGACTGGGATGCAGCCTGTAGCCAGGCAATTGTCCTGACCGGGAATTGAACCGGCGACTTCTTTGTGCACCGGATGATGCTCAACCAACTGAGCCACACTGGCCAGGGCTCAACTGTTT